CTGGGGTCCTTCCAAGTCATGGCTGACTTGTGGGATTTCCCTGAGCCATCTGTGAAAACCGTCAGAGCCTTGAGCAGTGTTTTGCTCTGTAATGATTTGGGGACCAAATTAAATGTGGTTTTGAAAAGTCTGTGGCTAGGTGGGTGTATAGAAATTTGGCCTGAATAGCTATCAAGAGGGAACTGAAGGCTCTCATTGGTTTGGAGCAAAGGCTCCAAACTTCCAGATACCAATGGGAGGAAGATGCATGTGAACTCACAGTCTGCAAGAGTGTGGAGACGGACTTTAGCTCTTCTAATGAGTTCAGCCATGATTTCCTGCAGAGTGGTAATAGTCTTAGTGGGCTGGTCATGTGTAAAGATCCACTCGATGATAAGGAGTGGATCCTTCAATGTCATGTCCCATTGAAAAATGAGTGTGTGTAAGCTCGGGGCCTTACCCAGTTGGAAGGGCAGGCTGGGCTCATAGCGGTGGGCTTGCCACGAAGACAGGGCCTCCTGGACCTTGGTGATGGATTCCCGGGCCTCCGGCGTGAGGGAGCATGGTGAATCGAGGTTCTCGCTGCCATGGAGCAGGTTGAAGAGGGGCGCAAGGACTTCTGTTGTTACACCAAGCAGAGGGCGTATCCAGTTGATGGACCCGCAGAGCTGATGTAAGTCTCACAGAGTCTTGGGGTCGTCTCTGATGGTCAGCTGCTGGGGCACAATGGTCCGCTCACAGATCTGGAGTCCTAGGTAGGTCCAAGGGCAGGTGTGCTGGATCTTGTCCTCACGGATCTCAAATCCAGCGTCCTCAATTGGATAGTTTTTTGTAAAGTCCGGTGCAGATAGTCATCGTCAGCAGCACAAACCAGGATGCCATCTATGTAGTGGAGGATGACGGCATCTGGGAACAGTGTCCTCACAGGTGACAGGATGTGGGCCACGTAACCATTGGCAGATAGTAGGAGAATTTTTCATCCCTTGGGGAAGGACTAGCCAATGGTATCTTCTTAAAGGTGCTTGTCTGTTTGGAGAGGGAACCGAGAATGCAAATCTGGGGGCGTCCCGAGGATGGAAGGGTATGTTGAAAAAACAGTCCTTTATGTCAATGACGGCCAGCTTCCAATCCCGGGGGAGCATAGAAGGGCAGGGCATGCCAGGCTGAAGGGATCCCATGTCTTCAATGACATCGTTGATCTTCCGGAGGTCATGAAGGAGTCTCCACCTGTCCTTGCCTGGTTTGCGTAGGACAAAGACAGGGGAGTTCCAAGGGCTCAGTGATGTGGCCCTTGGCAAGCTGCTCTTCCACGAGGGCTTCCAGTACGCGCAGTTTGGTCTCAGATAGGGGCCACTGATCAACCCACACTGGATGGTGCTGTTGGGGGATGGTAGGTGTCGCGCGCTTCTCAGTGACCCTGACTAAAAATCCCTGGGATTCCGCAGAGAAGCCCCCCATTGGGACAGGAGATCCTGTCCCCAGAGGGTGATTGGTGCTCTCACCACAAATGGCCTGATGGTTGCCATTTTTCCCTCAGGTCCTTCGATGACAATATTCTGTTTGCTCCTCATGGAAGCTGTCATCCCTCCAATTCCTGAAATCATGCCTGCCACAGGTTGTAATTCCCAATTGTCTGGCCACTCGGAGCGGGTGATGATGGTAACATCTGCTCCAGTGTCTATCATTCCTGGGCGCTGAATCCTTTCCCCATAACAAAATAGGCTGCAGTCCACAATGGGTTTGCAGGAGCCCACAACCTGAGTCCACATAGTGCTGGGGTTGAGGGGAACTTGATCTGGGCAGTCACTAGAAAGTAAAAAGGCCTGTGCCACGGGAGTCTGTTCCTTTAAATAATAAGGAGGGTCTATGCAGGTCAGGGAGATGGAAATTTCATCTCCAGGGTATATAGTCTGAACCTCAGGAACAGTATGAATTTGCCCTGGAGAGTTGGTTGGATCCCCAAGTATTAAGATGTTGGAGGGACCACCTGGTGGTCCACGTTTCCCTGTTGGGATTTTTGTAAATACAGTCACTCTTCATATGTAAAGAGACTCTAGTTACCAGTTGACGCCGGGTTCCCATCTGAAGCGCTCCACCTGCTGGGCTTGATATCGGGGTCCCCGTGGAGGCAGGATGGTGGGTTTGGCAGGAGGGGTGGAGTGGTGCGGCATTTGATTTGATGTTGAAGCATGGGGCCGTTCTGCACTCTGCTTGAAGTTTCCTGAATGCCAGTTTTGTCTGGGTAACCATTGGTGGGCTGGCGGTTGTATAGAATGTCTCTCCGGACAGTCTTTGAAAAAATGTTCAGGCTCGCCACAATTAAAACAATGATTTGTATTGGGGTCTGCAGTATAAGCTCCAGAGATCCCCTCTGCCACTCCCTTAGCCACTGCAAGTGCCACTTTATTCTCACTTGAGGCAGAGGAGTGTTTGGTGCAGGCTTCAACCATCTGATCTATGGTTGGTTCGGGGTCAAGTGGGAGGGCTCGCAAAACTGCTTTGCACTCCAGATTAGCATTGGCCATTGCTATTTTTACTAATAATTCCTTTTGCACCTGAGGGCTCTCTATCTGCTTTTCAATGGCCACTTTTAATTTATCAATATACTTAATAAAAGACTCAGTTGGCCCTTGCTTAATATTGGTGAAGTGCTGCCTTGGCACTTTATCATCAGGGGTGGTAAAAAGAGATATCTTAGCAGCATTAGCTATATCCTGTAAAGCTGCTTCAGGCAGATCCTGGGCCTGATCTCGGGGCTTTTGGAAATCTCCTTCTCCTGCTAATTGCTCTAAAGTAAAATTAGGTCTGTTAGCATCTTTA